TAGGCTAGGCCTAGCCCCATCCTCCTTCGTGAGCATTAATAACGAAATACCTTGGCGTAGAACCTTTTCTCTCGTAAAAACGTCTATTAAATGTGTTAGTGAAAGTTCGTTCAAAATGGAAATAAGGTCTTCATCCATAATTTTCCAAAACGGAGATGAGGTACAGTAACATACGTGCTTTCTTTGGCATTTAAAGCTAGGCCTAGGTCTAGTCTTCTGGAACAGTCGTTGTTTTCATTAAAAATTTAAGGTGCCAAATAAAAAAGTAGCCGAACGAACAGTCGCCAAATGAGATTGAATCTGCCTAATGTTAAAGTTGCAGCCGAATGCGATTTGGGCCGAACACACAGTCGCCGCCTAATGAAAAAGTCTCAGCCGAATGCTATTTGTGCCGAATACAAAGTCGCCGCCTAACGATTAAGTCGCACCGAAGGTCGTCCAGAATGACAGTCCCGGCGTTCCATAGTAAACGGCAGCTTTTTGGCACTGCGGCAGTGCCGATAGAAAACAGCAGCTTTTTTGGCACTGCGGCAGTGCCGATAGCCACTACCCCGGTTCTGCAGCAGGATGCAATTGTGGCAGCGTGGAAAATCAATGGCAGCGTTGGGTGAGCTTCGAAGGGTGGGCCTGATTGGTAAATAAATGTTAAAACCTCTTAATTTTCCTGATAATATTCCTTAATTTTACTTGAGTAGTATGCTAGCTAGGTCGGATCTGCTAGGTTATTATTGCCGAACAAGACCTTTGCAAATCCTGAGAGTAGGCCTAGCTAGGGCTTAAGTCTAGCCTAGGTAGGCTAGCCACATTCAGGCCTAGCCTAGGCTAGGTACATTTACAGTAGTCTAGAGTAGGCCTAGGCCAGGGGGTGTCGGTCAATCCGTACCCAAACCAACCCATACCCATACCAACCCGTACCCATACCAACCCGTACCCACTTTGGGGCGCTAATGCATAAGTTCACCTCATCTTCAAAATCAAACTTCCAAGTTGTAATTCCCTTAAATATTCAAGTATTATGCAAAAACATTCATTTACCCACACGATTGAAACTATTATATGACAAATCCAGCTTGTGTTATTAAGAAAAATTCGGTTTTACCGCAGCTCTCTCGAGTGGCTCCCATCTGATCGCTTTTCGGCCATCTTGTAAATGAAATGGTTGCCAGAATCACATATATACGATTTCTTGTAACTTAGGGGATC